TCAGCTTTTATTTCTTCTATCAAGTTCTAGGGGGAAAAAAAAACAAAAATAAAAAAATCTTTCTTGAGATGGCTTCTTCCTTTGGATTCCATTTTTCCTTTTTGTAGCATTCTGTAATTCACAACTATAATTTCTTTCTTTGGCCAGTATTCCCATGCTCCCCTTTGGTGGGGGGCACACCTATCTTCTTCATGGTTGTATTCCCCAGTGCGTAGCATGTTGAAGGCATGCAATAATACTCATTAAGTTAATGAATCTAATGATCAAAGTACTGCTAACTTTCCATTTTCCCCTTGCATATTTCTTCTCTCTTAAGTCTTCAATCAACATTTTATTTTCTCTAGAGTCTCACTTTGGTTACTAGATCTGTATTAGTGTTCAGGAAAAACAACTGAGCAATGTCCTAAAAATCCTGATATTTCTCTCAGAAAAATATATCACATCTGCAAAATCTTCCATAGAAAATAAGTTCCCAGGAATTATTTATTTTTGACGTTCAGTAAATTATTCATTCAGTAAAATTGAGTATCTTGATTTTAAAAACATTCCTTAATCATGTATAGCATACTGCTCCTCTATTTAGCAATAGAATATTGTGTATCTATTTAATATGGCAAAATTGCTTTTAATCATAGTTTTATCCTCAAAAAGGAATATAGGTTTTATTTGGATAGGAGTAAATATTTTAGAAAATGTATTTTAATTGTGGCCTAACTTTTCTAGTTTTCAACATGGTATAGATATATATAAATATAGAATTATCAGTTAATAGTTATGAAAGCTAATGGAAAATTTGGGGTCCATTGTATTGAAGGTATCAAGACTTCTTAGCTTGTTTTATGTTTTTTTTTAAATAGCAAAGAGAATCTTTAGCATTTCTTCCTCCAGACTTGTAGCAGGTCATCACATTTGTCCACAGCTGCACCTTTCATCATTTTGTTGCTTACTCTACCCTTTTTTTATCCCCTCATTTGTCCCAAACAGCTAAAATAAATGGGAGAGTAACTCCTTAGAACCCATCCTTTTAATTAGTTACACTTTCTTACTGGCTTGGACTCTTGAGCTCTCATGCCAGCATCCACATTGCCTTCAAGATTTATAGCCCAGGGTGGTAGCTATAAATAGCTCATTTCTATCTACACTTAAGTTTAAAAAAAATGGAGTAATACTGTAGATAAAATCAGAAGTAAGGTTTAGTGAAGAATGTAATTCTGGTAGGATGGAGAACCAGCTGCTAGATAGAAAATATTACAAGGAAAGAGAGTTTGAGCCCTGTGTCTCCTCTGTTTCTGCACTGTCATAAATCTTGATGCCTCTGGCTCTCATATCATTTATTTCACACTGTTCTTCTGTGCCGCAGATATTAGCTCTTCTCCCAGGATGTGTGTAGTGAATGGTAATTTACATAATGTCATCTTGAGTGTCTAATATATGCCATGGGCTGTATTATCTCTAATTCTCTAATCACGTGTTCTTTAAGTGAAGAAAGTGTGTATCAATGTGGTTAAGTAACGTAACACCGAGACCTTCCTGACTGTAAGGTGTGTTCACTTTCCATGGTAACTAACTGCTTATCATCATCATGCAGAGCAAGACAGCTGTGTATCCAAGTGACAGATTCCAAAAGTGGTTCTCTTATCACGTTTCATATCCATTGCAGCCCTCTGCCTGCTCTCCCCACCAGGTAGCACCCCTGGGCTCCTTGGCCAGCTTTCTCCACCAGTCACACCACCATCCACCTTTTGGGAGGTGGCCTTCCTTGAAGGCATTAAGTTAACACAGCACTGTTTCATTAAGGGCTAAGTCTACTTAGAATTGTCTCCCTTCATAATAAAATAATTGATTTATTGTACAATGTAAAAATGAGGGAAGGCTTCAGCCAAAACTATGTCCACAGGAATGCCATCAATAAGAATTTGTTCTTTTGAGTTTACAAGTGAATTAAAACTATGTAATTTTCCTGAGAGGATGAACACTTCTAGCCACCATTTAGTTTAAACTGGACGTTTTAATGAGTAGCTTTCCTTCTACCATTACACTGAGATCAACTTTCTTGAGTATGGGTATTAATGTGGGGTGAGGTGGGGTGGAGTTAGTAGGAAGGGGAAGGTGGGTGGAGGTGGGTGTTAAGGTATTCATGCAGTTCAGTTTTGTTGTAGAGCCCTTTCTAAGAGAGTGGTTCTGGAACAAATGCTATTGTAATTTGCCAGAGGCTGACAAAATCTGCACTTTGAGAGCACTTAACATGAGACACAAGGACCATGGCTTGGTCTCTTCAGTGTTGGAGTTAAGATATTTCCCAGTATGGGTCATGGCAATCCCTGAACTCTGGAAAAGTGATACTGGATTTTCAGTTTTCCCACTAGTTCTTCCCTAGCAAAAAGACTTCCTTCTGAGCACTTTGTTTCATTCTTTCTTAATCCTTTATGTCTTAGTGAGAAATTACTAGGTTGCATGCTATCCACTCAACCTAGGTTAAGAATTTTCTTGTAGTCATTTTAGCGACTCTCATCAGGAAACGTGCAGGATTTACAGCTGGCCTCAGTTGAACTGGACGTTTGCCGGGGACTGACTCTCTCTTTCTCATTCTTTCAAGGGCTGCATGGTCTATTGTACCAGCTTCTCTATGGGTGTCTGCTATGCTATTTGGTCTCTGGAGACTAATCTCCTGGAAACATTCAGAATTTCTATATAAGAAGAGTTAAAGATAAAAATTTGTGGTGGTTGTAGTGGGAATGTTATGGGACTTGTATAGAAGGTGTGATCAAACTTCAAAAATCTTAGACTGCCTATTAATTTAAGGATGAGGTTGTGTGTGTGTTGGGGTGTTTTGGGCACCCACTGGCTCACCATAACACATCCCTGCTCATTTGGCCTGTCTGTGAGTGTCCTGGTAGGTGACTCAGTGTGACCTTTCAGAGTCCTGATTCCAGATTCCTAGGCCAGAGACTACAGTTGCCTAGGCTTCAGTTTTCATCTGGTTAAAACACATCAGTGCTCAATCTGTTAATTCCTTCCTCTTCCTGCATGTGTTTCAGCCCAAATCAAGAAAGACTGGCACTAGGCTGCAAGTGAACAGCTTCCTGTTAGAGAAAACTCAGGACTTATACCGTCCTAGATGTGATCTTATTACTTTGGTATTTCTTTTTTGGACATGTGAAAACCTAGCATGTATCCTGACTTAGCATGAGAAGGAAAACAAAAGCACGCATTGGTAAAAGTCTGCCTCAAATCCCCTGAACCAGACATCTCCCATTTCCTTTGCTCAAGCTTATTTCCTGACGACCAGCCTTATGCCTTTGTGAACTCTTTTACTAAAAAACAAGTACTTCTGTGCATTGCCTTTTTGCTTGCTTACTATCATCTTTGTAAGGTAGTTTCTCAGACTATGTGAGTTCTTTGATGCCATTAAATTTTATACACATACACATATGCAAGTTTAAGAGTAACTTAGAGTAACTGTTCATTAATACTTTTAAGCCTAGAAATATAATTGCCAGCAAAATTATATGCTTTCTTATTTTCATATTTTTATGCTTAAACAACAACAAAAATAAAACTCCTGTCCACTTACCCTAAGGAAACTATTTTCTTTCCTCAGTAGCTTCTAGGAGGAAAGCAGACAAATTTGTTTTTTAATTTATGTCTATACATCAAGTTGGATAATTTTTGGTGACATTTCTGATAGTTTTTATTCTGGTAAGACTTGAGATGCTTGGGTCTTTTCTTTTTTCCTTTCTTCCTTTGCCATGCTTTTCTATTTTACTCATTTACCTAAACTTATTTCTTAAAACATTAGGCAACTTCATCCAGAACTCTCACTCCTGGGTTTTCTTTTCTTAATAAAATAAGAGCCACCCCTACCCCACTTCTGTCTGCAGTTTAGGCCAAAGATGTGTGTGATCATTAACAAGAAAACAAAACTAAACCACACACGCGCAGGCTGCAGCTCTGGCTGGGTTCCAGGATTCCATTAGCCAGACAATGGGCGGCCCCAGCAGCCAGGCAGGGGGTGGGAGGAAGCAGGTCTTGCCCTCTTTGGGCTGTCGGGCTCCGAGCAGGGTCAACAGCAGGCTGAGGTTGAGAATGGGGTAGACTGATTGTTTTGCAAATGATTGGTGATAAATATATGACATGGCCTGTTCTACTTATCCTTGCATTAAAAATCGATTAAATCTGGTAGTGTGTATTTAAAGAATCCATTTTGCAATTTCATTTTTTTCCCTCTTAGATCAGTTCAAATAAAATTGTGACTAGTTTTGGAATAATCACAACAGAGAGCAAGAAACAGTGGAAAGCTAAAAATAGATGTCTTCCTTTAGATTTTTTTTCTTGTTTATTTCCAAAAGACTTGCCAGTATACTTAGGATTATAGTCTGAAGACTAAATAGGTCATATAAAACAATGAAAAATGAGAGGATTAGCATTTTATTGCATAAAGAAGTAATTGTTGCTTTCTATCTTTGGATTCCTGAATTCTTACAGCCTCTTGGCAAATTTTGTATCAACCATTGCAAGAAATTGCCCAAAGTGAAGAGGACTAACACATGATAAATACAAGTCTAAAGTTTATATTTTTGAGGGGACATTTTAATTGAAAAAATAAGTAACACATGTAAAACTCAGTCTGTCATATGTTATTGCAGTTACTCCTTCAGATTGTTAGGGAAGAGTATAAAAGCTAATGTGATTTATTCCCACTAGGATGTTTAAACATTTTAACAGTAAAGTATTAACAAAGGGCCATGTGGTGGAAGCTGCTCAGGCTGAGAGTGGGGGTGGAGGAATTGATAAAGGCCTGGCAATACCTGTTTGTTTTTTAAACCTACCAATAATATTAAGACAAATGTAAAGGAAAGATATAACTGGCTTAGGTGATGTCCGGGAAAGAATGTGAACCCTGTAGTACTAAGCCAATGAGGAACCAGGGGAGGGACTCGCGCACTAGGAGATAAATTATTGGCGCCAAACTCCCCAGGTGTGCCTGCCCACCAGACACCGGTACTTGCAAGACCGTCATTAAAGCCTCGTTCTGCTGTTCTCTTTGTCTCCATGTCCACTTATTGAATTTGGACCAGTGAGTGTGTTTCTCACAATTTGGGGGCTCGTCCGGGATCCTCTTGCCTGTGCGAGGTGGGGGCCCAAGCAGAGTGGAAAGACGCGTCCCGCCCACCTTTGGGTGGCCTGCTGTGTCTGGGCATCTCACCTTCGCATGGAGGCTGAGGGGAGACCCGAGACTGTTGTGTGGAGATAGCGTGACTGACGCAGGGGAGAAAACGCAGGCACCGCGGCAACCAGGCAACCTCGTGCATGAGCCAAGGTGAGAAAATTGGGCTATAACTACTGCTGGTGGTTGGGCATTTTTCAGAAGTCGAGTGTATGTTGCTGAGATGTGTAATCTCGGGGTGTGTGCAAGAAACTTCCATTATGGGGAGTTGAGTACACAGGGATCTCAGACACAGGGACCTCTTGAAGGATAGGAAATATAAATTCTAGGCCTATGGAAGCAGAGAAAGGGAACCAGATGAGCTCCCTTGAAATTCCCCCCAGATAGCCTGCTGGGGTGAAGGTTGCGGTACTGGGGGGATGCCTCCTGTACCAGGTTAAGGACAAACAGAAGATGATCAAATTTTGCTGTTTTGTCTGGATTAAAGTTAGATCAGATGAAAACTGGCTTTGCCAGGTTTGAGTTATTTTTTGATAGTAATAAAGCCTCCAGTTCACCTGAGGAATCTGTTGGTTACCAAGGGCACTTCCCCTATTTCCCCTAACACCAGGGAAGGGAAAGCTAGGGAGGAGGAACTACAAGAGGACCTCCCAGGACAAGCCCTGGTGTTGGGAAAGTGTTGTGTGATTTCCTCGGTCCCTTTCCCCGCTGTAGCTGCAGCGGAGAGTTGAGAGGCGGGGACACGGCGGTGAGGCCAAGTGAGAGTTTTGTTTCAAGTTACTCCTGGAGAAAGTGAGGCCGCCTTGGCAGGGAGGGGCACCCTGGGAGGTTGGAGAGAGAAAGTTTTAAGTTAAAAGGTTGTGCACTTTGAGGGTGCTGGTGGCCTCGGAGAGAGGAGCACCCCAGGGGTTGGGGGTTCGCTTTTTAAAGATTCTTTAGGAGTGTACCCGGCACCTGGAGGTGTAGACTTGTTAGGTGGTCTCAGGTATCTTTGATGAAACATTTCTTATCAGTCCTCTGGGTAATTCTGCAAAATTAGCTTAACACAAGAAATTTACTGCTTTTAGTCCCCTCCCAGGATGGCAGCTTCCTGGTTTGGGAGCATATCAGGACTAACTGCCCTTCTTCCAAGGGGGGCAGAGTTATTGTCTGTTTGCTAATGAGTAAGTTGAGAATCTTGCTTCTTGACCGCCTGGGTATTAAAATGCAATCTTTGGGATGAAATCCTTCCTGCCTTTTGCTATGTTGTTTACAGCTGCGCCTGCATACTAAATTGATTTCCTGGGTTGTAGACTATTTGGGGTCAGAAAGAAAAAAAATAGCATATAGGTAAAGAAAAAAAAAAAGAAAAGAAGAGGCTGGGCCTGTATGATTAACATAATAAAGACAGGCTATGCTGGGGTACCTTCTCCTTTATCTGAGAAATATTCAAACATTCCAGGCCAAGTTGCTCCTGTCTTTTTGAGCTTTAATTAATTAACTCTGAGTCTTTTTAGTAGACTTTCCTGGCCTTTTTCTCCTTCCACCCAACTCATAGCTCATATCAACCTGCGTTCAGAGGTGGAAAGAAATATGGCTTTAGTGCATTTGCATCTTCAGGGGTGGAGAGAAATTCATCTCCATATCAAAAAGTAATTACCTGGGCAAGGAGGGCTATTCCGTACCTGAGAGGTGAGGGGGAGGGCCGGTTTTTGGCTGATGCTGGAGCCTGAAAGAGAAATGGCCCCAGACCGCAGCTTGGGAGCAATAAATAGATTTTAAACTTTATTTCTCCCTTGGACTGATTGCAGTTTTTAGAAGTATTTTTCCCTAAGATTTCCTCTCCCTGGACTTAACAATGTAAGAAGGACTTAGTTTCCCCTTGCCTTCTGGGGAGTCCACCAGGAATCCCAAGGTGTTTCCATGGAGAGAGGTCCCACTAGGATAAGGGGAAATTTGTTAATGCTCCCCTCACGGGGACTGAGGTGAGAAGTTTTAAGCATTACTAGAAGATCCCTTTGGCCTAGTGGACCAACTAGATCAATTCCTGGAACCTAATATAGATACTTAAGTTGAACTGATGTCCATCATGAATATTCTAGTCCCTGGTGGTGAGAGGGGGGGTGATCAAGAGAGCTACTGTGTCCATTTGGAAACAAGAACACCCACCGGGCCAGGGTGTACAGTCAGTGGAACAAAAGTTCCCAAATGTAGATCCTAGATGGGATAATAATAATCTAGGGGATATAATTAAAATGCAGGATCTTCAAGAGCTAATTATAAAGGGAATTAGGGAATCGGCCCCAAGATCTCAAAATGTTTCTAAGGTGTTTGAAGTCCAATAGGAAAAGGAAGAAACCCCAACTGCATTTTCATAGAGACTCAGGGACCAGATGAGAAAGTATTCAGGACTTGAACCAGAAGCTCAGGTAGGACAGGATCTTTTAGAAGTCAATTTTGTAACCAAAAAATGGCCAGATTTATCTAAGAAATTACAGAATTCAGATAAATGGAATGAAAAACCTAGAGAAGAATTACTGAGAGAAGCTCAAAAAGTGTTAGAAGAGAGGCTACAAGCTTGTATTTCAAATTGTTAGAGGGAGAGCTAGACCCTCTCCAATGGACCCAGCGGAACTGCAAATTCTAGAAGAATTGAAAGCAATCTTTAGTCACCACCCCAGTCCTGGCACTCCCATCTTTACAGAAGCCATTTCACTGGTTTATTACTGTTGAACAAGGTTCTCTGTAAGGTTTTGACCCAATCCTGGAGAGGAAAGAAACAACCAGTGGCCTTTATGTCTTAACTATTGGACCCTGTCTCTTGAGGATGAACTGAATGCGTTCAGGCCATCACAGCCATGGCCTTACTGGTGGAAGAGAGCAGGAAATTAACTCAGAGGAACCCTCACGGTCAGTACACCTCACCAGATTCGGGTCATGCTTACTTAATCAGTGGGCTGGGCACTGGCTAATAGATTCTCAAATTTTAAAATATGAAATAAGTTTACTTGAAAAAGATGAAATTATGTGCTGGCCATGTCTTCTAACATACCTTCCCTCAAGCTGAAAGGACTCACCCAGACTCCCCCACTTGAGTTCTTCGCTCACTGATTCCAGCCTAGAGACCTGGTGTTAGTAAAATCCTGGAAAGATGGACTCCAGCCCAGCTGGGAAGGCCCCGCCCAAGTGCTCCTGATCACGGAGACGGCAGTGAGGACGGCTGGAAAGGGTGGGACTCATTACACCAGAGTAAAGAAACTGACTGGGGGATCTGGGGACAAAACAGAATTGGCAGGTGTCCCAGGTGGCTAACCAACCTGTAAGGCTGAAACTAAAAAGAACCTAAAAATGTTAACTTTTATCCTTCTAACTCAGTATTTCACAGGCAAGTCGCAGGAAGCCCTATAATGGGAAGGAACTCCTGGTTATCCTGTCAAACTGGTCATCAATATTACTAAAACATCAAGCCCCCAAACCATTAGGTTTGATGCTTGTCAAGTTCTCTTGTGGTGACCTAAATGACCAAAGACAGCTTTCTGGAGATAATAAGTATCTCTGTCCTGAATGGATAAAACTTAACAGAATAAAAAAAGACAAGTAGGTCCCATGTCCAAGGTGGAGCAGTGTTTAGTAGACTACCCAGTTTCAAGGGTGGACAGTCCCTCATGCAGTAGAAAAATCTTTAAAAAGAAAACTCCACTTAGCTAAAGGAATTACTCCTGACAATTGCCAGGATAGACAGTGTAACCCCCTTTTATTAACTATACATAAACCTCCAGATGGACTCGGTGCAGATGTCATTGGAGTAGATCCTGTGGGAAGGTTTAGTCTTAATTTAATCAAAGGCAAGACTTCACCCATAGTGGCCACCCCCAATCCTGAGGGAAATATTGAGCCAGAGCTTCCCAAAAATGACCCTAGACTGGTTACTGTAACAGATAAAATATCTAAAACAGACTCTTGAAATAGAAATAGGTTATAGAGACACCAATGCCTGGGTAGAGTGGGTTAAATTTTCAGTACTCACTTTGAATAAAAGCGATTGTTATGCATGTGCTGCTGGACGGCCACAGGTGCAGGTGGTCCTGTTTCCTCTCTGCTGGGACACAGACCCCACTGGGATGAACTGCATGTTGGCCCTGTACCAGGACAAGGACTCTTGGGGAAGTGAGACTTGCAAGGGCTTGTCTTTACTCTTTCATGCACTAAAGAAGTCAGATCCGAGGGCAATCCCCTCTTTTTCTATAGAGAAGATGAATCACTCCTCATGCCTCTCTAGGCAAGGGAAAGGTTTCAGAACTCCTGTAGGGAACTTACTGACTTGTACCCGTGTCCTAAATGTCTCTAAAGAGGGCAACTCCTTGAAATTACGCATCCCCCGAGTGGATGTTGGGTGGTGCTGTAGAAAGGGGAACCTGTGCTACTCGTTGCCACCCACCTGGACTAGGACTTGTGCTTTAGTCCAATTGGCCATTCCATTTACCCTGGCATTTTTCTCCACACCCAATGAAAAAAAAATGTTCATAGAAGTCAAATGTATACATTGACTCAATAGGAGTGCCCAAGGGAGTCCCTGATGAATTTAAAGCTATAAATCAAATAGCTACAAGATTTGAGTCAGCACTATTTTAGTGGTCCACCATCAACAACAAGATGGCCTGAGAAAACAGAATAGCATATGTTAGCAGAAAAAAGTCTGTGTTATGTTAAGAGGAAAATATTGTACTTTTATCCCAAATAATACTGCCCCTGATGGTACTATTACTAAAGCCCTACAGGGACTCACCACTTTAGCTAATGAATTAGCTGAAAACTGGCATCAGTGACCCTTTTACAGACTGGTTGGAAAGATAGTTTAAAAAAAATAGAAAGGTATGGTTGCCTCTGTTTTAACATCCCTTGTTATAGTTGCGAGAGTTTTATGCTGTATCATCCCTTGTGTGAGAGGCTTGACTCAAAAGCTTATAGAGGCAGCCATAAACAAGATTAGAGAAATTTGAGAAAGGACCAAGTGTAAATTAAAATACATTACTGGGAATAAAATCAGAAATTCTTAAATAAAAAGGGGGGAACTGTTAGGGAAGAGTATAAAACCTAAATGGGATTTATTCCCACTAGGATGTTTAAACATTTTAACAGTAAAGTATTAACAAAGGGCCACGTGGTGGAAGCTG